GAGAGAGAGAGAGAGAGAGAGAGAGAGAGAGAGAGAGAGAGAGAGCGAGAGAGCAGGGGCAGCAACCCGAACCTAACCTGTGCGCTTTGGCTTGCACGGCCCATTTGCAATTTAAATCGCAGTGTCGGGACGGGTTGGGGTTGGGGCCGCCGCCCCGACCACGCCGCCGCCGCCGCCGGGGTGGAGGTGGAGAAGTGCGTCGTCGTCGGCGTCGTGGAGCAAGGCGAGGCGCTCCGCCCTTTTGCAAAGCTCTGCCGGCAAAGCGAATGCAATTAGGCCGTTTCCCATACCAACGACACGAGCGACACTTCCTCCTCCTCCTCATCGTCGTGCTCACGACCGCCTTCTCGCGGACGGCGGCTTTCGGCTCTCGGACGTCAATGCAATTACTATCAAACGTTTTGAGGCGGAACAGAAAGAAAATTGGATTGCCGCCGGCTGTTAGACAATGCGCGGCGAAGCGGGGCGTGGTGGGGTGGGTTGGGGTGCCGTGGGGTGGGGTGTGGCGGGGCTGCGAGGGAGCCGATATGACAGTGAGTATCGGCGGGCCTAGTAGCGGCGGCGGCCAGCAAGCCGAGCCAGCCGCCTATATGCTTGTAGGCGCCCCCCCCCCTCCCCTCTGCTCCTTTTCTCCCCTAGAAAATCTGATGTCCGGATGGTTGATGGGGGAGAGGGAGAAGAGCGGCATGGGGAGTACTGCCCGGACGCCACGACGCCACGCTACGCCATTCCCAGCAGCTCCGGCAGGAACGGCACTCTCTGGAAGGGGTGTCAAAATATCGGCATGTAGTCGGCGTTTCGGCGTCGGCGTTCTACCACCGCCTGCTGTCGCCAGCCCCACCCGCCGCACGCCGCTTAAAAGCACCGCTGTCGACAAGTTTGGTGGGATTTTTATACTCTCTCTCATTTCTTTACCTCTTTTCTATTATTTTCATTTTTCGTTGTCAGCGCGGCATGTGACGGGCGTCACTTCTCATGCGTTCAAAGTTTACAAAGCGAAAAGAAAAGAAAGAAAGGAAAAACGACGGTGACAGAGCAGGGTGTGAACCACGAGAAAAACGACCTTGGTTTGCAGTAATTATTTGCGCACACTCGTTCCCCTTTTTTTTTAACGCCGCCTGTCGTTCCGGTCCGCACGCTGCCTCGGGGGAGGAAGAAAAATTATTCTTAAAATAACAAACGTGCACGTATAATACTTACTGATGTCGGAGCAGCCGCCCCAGGAGCCCTGCTGCTGGCTGTGCCTGGCGAGCTTGGACAGGGCCTCGACGTACATCCGGGAGGCGGCGGCCGCGCCTGTGGGGCACAAGACAAACACGATGTAGCAGTGGCGGTTAAAGGGAACGGCGTGTGTGTGAGGTACTACAGACACAGCTATATGTATATCGCCATAGCGCAGGCTAGAGATAGTTTGCCCGGAGAGCTTTTGGGGAAGGTCGGGGAGTGGGCGCGCGTGTCGCATGCCTTGGGTGCTTTGCTGCTGCTGCTCGTCCTGCTTGCTAACACCAGCCGCAGGCCACAGCAGCCTGCAGCAGCAGCAGTAGAGGCCCGGGGGAGCGCAGGGAGAGCTAGGCGAGCTCGCCGCGATAGGGATAGGGTTACCCAGTCTCGGGCGCGCCCCGCCCGGGCCGGGGCTGAGCCGGGGACGGCAAGGGACGGGACGGGACGCAAACCGCACATTAATCGTCGGTCTCGGTAACGAGCGGGCCAGGCGGGGCGGTGCGGGGCGGTGGAGCGACAAGTGGCTAAAGCCGCGTGTAGCGTGTACACCGCGCCGCCCGGCCGCGCCAGCGGATTAACGCCCGGTGGATAGTGTCGCGGCGTGGCGGGGCGTAGCTGAGCGCGGAGCAGGGAAGACGAAGTGGTTGTAACGAGTATCCCATTCCGCTCGACTGTTATCTCCCCAACTCCTCTCCGCTGCTCGCCAACCACAACGTCCTCGTCCTCGCCGTCATTGTCCTCGTCATCGTCATCATCACACCCCCGCTGCTGCTTGCTCCAGTTCTGAAACTCCTGCTCCCTTGCTCCTTGGCCGCCGGGCCGGGCCTCCATCGAGTTACTTGCGCTCCGCCTGCGTCCTATTCTATTCCATTTTTTTGCTCTTGGATGCGTGATTTGCCGGGCGGGCTCGCGTCCGGCCGAGGACGACGTCCGTCGGTGTCCGACGCCGAGGGGGTGTCACGACGCGGAGGGTCGCATCACGTCGCGTCGCGTCCGCGGGGCGCTCATCTGGAAAGACATCGTGAATGGAACATGAGTGGGGATGACACATTGGCGGGACGCGTCGGGGGGGCCAAAAGCCGGGGCGTCGACGGGTTAGGGTTAGGAGTGGGGGGTGGAATCGGACGAATTACAGGGGTGGCGGGACCCCGCGGGTCAAGTGGGGTTGGTGCGGCGGGGTGAACGGACGCCGTCCGCGTCAAGAAATAATACGGCGTAAGCAGGTACTTGCCGTTGCAGCGGGTAAAAGACGGAAAAGAGAGAGAGAGAGAGAGAGAGAGAGAGAGAGAGAGAGAGAGAGAGAAAGAGAGAGAGCAAACGTGCAACTGTTACAGCGTATAAAAATAAGTTGTGTGTCGGAGGACAACGCCTGCGCCATAAAATGAACCTCGTCCCTGCACCACCCCCACCACCCGCCGTCGTGAAGGTCCATTCCCCGGGTCGCCTCGACCCACGTCAAGCGGCCGTGTGTGGGCCCCAGACAGGTCTGGTGGTGGTGGTACTGGGGGTGCGGAGGGGGGACAATCATGGAGGTGAACGGTAAATCGCTCCCCTGGGGCCCCCGCGGGGGAAGAGAAGGGGGAGGGGGTGGGGCCGCTCTTCCTTGTAGGGGGCGCGCGGGTGACTGTCCGATCGGACCCGACCCACCGGCCTAGCCCAGCTCAGCCCCCTACCTCCTCGATAAATACAGAAAAGCTTTCTGCTGCCTTCAAAGTAGGCGCGCAGAGGAATAGGGATGGGCAGGCGGCGCCCCTCCCCGCCCCTCCCCGCCCTTCCCCGCCCCTCCCCGCCCCTCCCCGCCCCACGCCACAGGTCGTCGGCTGCTCTCCCGGCTCCTTCCTCCCGGGTCGGGCTGCTGCTGCTGCTGGCTGGCTGCCACCGGCCCGGGCGCCTGGCAGGTAGGCTGTCCCGTCAGACAGGGCTGTTCGGCGGGGCTGCATACCCAGCCAGGCGTTCAGCGCCGCTGAGACAGGCGCTCGCCCCCTCGCCGCGCGCCTGCCCGCCTCTGCACTTCCGCGATTCCTTTTTATTATTATTTCTTTTTCATCGGACTGCCTCCCTTGTACACCTCCTTTACCAGGGTGTCGAGCGACTCGGGAAATACGGGAAATACGGGAATTATACGGGAATTAAATTTGTCCGGGAAAAATTCGGGAAATATCCGGGAATTTCGCAATCAACTCGGGAAATCTCTTAGTGCCGTGTCTTTCTTCAGGAATGAAATGGAAACTGCACCAGAAAGGTACATTAAGTTACCATTATCCTGCTCAAAACCACTCTTTTTGTCATAAAATACCGGAAAAAAAATCTCGCTCGCTTCGCTCGCACTTTTTCATGATGGTTACCTCCCGTAATGATCTCAAAGCGATAGCGGAAGGCCGAAAGACGCCTATTGAAATGGGTCCGGTAGGTGCATGATCTCAAGTGGGCACCGGAGAAACCCCGGCCGGCGATACCAGAAGTGAAAAAGAAACTTTGTCAATAGGGTCTACCAACAGAGCTTAATCCCTCTGAAAACAACTCATTTTGTCATAAAATATCAAAAAAAAATTCTCGCTCGCTTCGCTCGCGATATTCTACGGGGGGTACCTCTGTTTTGCTCGGTCATGCTCCTGTCAACCAGGGTATTTAGACATTTGTTAATTTTTACCTCTCATTCGATAGGAAGAGTTTTCATCTGAAAGGGTTAGAAATACTCGGGAATTTCGACAATTTTTGCTCGGGAAATACGGGAAAAGTTCGGGAATTTTATTTTCGGTCTGCGCTCGACACCCTGTTTACGCGTTCTCTGCTTCTCGTTTCTGCTTCTCGTTTCTGCTTCTCCGACCGCGCTCGCTGCTGCTTTTACTGTGTGGCGGGTGCCCCACTGTCGGTCCCTCCTCTAGGCCCGGCAGAGAAAGGGCCCAAACGGTCTCTCTCTTGATCTCGGTTGTGTGCAAGCGGCACGGAAGGCGGCGATGGGAGGAGAGTGAGAGAGACAGTTTTGTCTCGTAGTGGGCAGAGAGAAGGAGAGAGAGAGAGCAGAGAGGGAGGAGGGAGGCAGGGGTGTGGAGGTGGGCGCGGCTGTGCGTGCCGCTAAAGGTCGGGGGAGGGATGTTAGGAATTTGTCTTGGCTGCACGATTACCCCCTCGGAAGGGGTTCTGATAGCCTGCAGGCCCGCCACCACCACCACTACGGCGCGCAGCCCACGCCAGCCTACCTCCCCTCTCTGTCGAGCTGCGAACTTAATTTGGAGTTAGTGTTCTTTTTAGGAGCCTCCTCCTCTCTGCCTTTGGGGGCCTTCCTTGTACCGACCGACGCGGCGGCTGCAGCCGTGCCGCTCGCCCGCCCCCGCGCGCGGGGCTAGTGGGGAGGGTTGGGGGGAGTGCCACGACCGAAACGCCGCACACCGCGGAGTTCGCGAAACTCCTGACGAGGTCGGGCGCGGGATGTGCAAAAAGCGCGTGCCACATGTGTGTGGGGTTATTGCCTGGGCCGGCCCTATGGCACCGGCAGCGGCGGTGGGGGTGTT